GCACTCCAGAAATCCATGTTTCTCCACTAGAACTTCTTGCTATCCCGTTAAAACGTTCCAACACTGTTTTTTCGTGTTTGCGTTTCTACACAAGACTATCGTGTTTTATCCATCTTCCCGCACCGTAACTTCAGCTTATACCTGGAAGTACACCATGTTTCCCCACAGGAACGTGAGGTTTTAACTTGAAGAAATTCATGTTTCTCCTCAGAACCTTCATCTTCTTGTTGAAGAAATGCATGTTTTCCACTTTAGAAATCTCTGTTTCTTCAGAAGAATATAAGTTTTTGTTCCTCAATAAATTCATGTTTCCATACAAGTCCATGTTTCTCCACAAGAATATAAATGCTTCTTTCTCAATAAATCCATGTTTCTATTCAGTAACTTCAGATTTTTGCCTTGCCTGAAGCAATCCATGTTTTAAGATGAAGAAATCCGTGTTTCTCTACAAGAAGTTCCTGTTTTCCACTGAAGAAGTCCGTATTTTTCCAGAAGAACTTCACGTTTCTTCCACAGTAAATCGATGTTTCCATACAAAGCCATGTTTCTCCACAAGAAATTGTTTTCTTGAAGAAATTCATGTTTCTCCACCAGATCTTTACGTTTTTTTCGGAAGCAATGCATATTTCTGCTCAAGAACCTCAGGCTTTTTCCTGAAGAATTTAATATTTCTCGGGTTTCTCTATTTGTCTTTTTTCTACATGTCTTTTCGTTTAGTGAACAAATCAACGTTTCTCCACAAGAACTTCGTGTTGTCTCCTGAAGAAATACAGGTTTTTCTACACGAACTTCATGTTTTCTTGTGCAGAAATCCATGATTCTATACTAGAATTTCATGTGTTTTCATGAATAATGATTTTATTGCAGTATGTTTTTTACTGAATCCAGGTTTCTTCCATACACCTTCATGTTTTTTCCTGAAGAAACCGATGCAAGAAGCATGAAGTTCCTGTGGAGTAACGTTGATTTCTTCGCTAAATTAAAGTAATATGAAGTTCTCCACGAAAAGACATAAAGTTCTACTGCAGAAACATGGATTTCTCGAGGACAAGAGATGAAATTGTGGTGTAGAAACATCGAATACTTCGGTAAAAATGACAAAGCTCGAGTGGAGAATCATGCATTTCCGCCGAAGAAAACATGAAGTTCTTGTGGAGATACATATACTCTAGCCGGAAAAGCATGATGTTCTTGTGGAAATCATAGCTTTCTTCAGGAAGAAACATGAAGTTCTATTGAAGAAACCTGGATTTCTGCAGCACAAGAGCTGAAATTGTTGTGAAGAGGCATGGATTTCTTCGGAAAGAAGCAAAATAACGTCGATTTCTTCACTAAATTAGAAAAATATGAAGTTCTAGTAGCGAAACCTGGATTTCTTCAGGAGAAAACATGAAGCTCTTGTGGGTAAGCATGGATTTCTGCAGAAGAAAACATAAAGTTCTTGTGGAGAAACATGGATTTCTCCACGAAAAGACAATATTTTTCAATATGCAATATACTTCAATATCCAATATACTTCAGTTCTTGTGGACAAACATGGATTTCTCCAGGAAGAAGCATGAAAGCATAAAGTTCCAGTGAAGTAACGTCCATTTCTTCACTAAATTAAGATAATATGAAGTTCTAGCAGAGAAACCCGAATTTCTTCACGAGAGAACATGAACTCACCCTTGAGAAACATGGATTTCTTCAGGATCAAACATGAAGTTGTGGTGGAGAAACATCGAATACTTCGGTGAGAACGATGAAGCTCGTCTGGACAATCATGGATTTCTGCCGAAACAAACATCAAGTTCTAGTAGAGATACATATATTTTAGCAGGAAAAGCATGATGTTCTTGAGAATAATCATCGCTTTCTTCAGGAAGAAACATGAAGTTGTATTGAAGAAACCTGAATTTCTTCAAGGGGGGAGAAGAAACATAAAGCTCTAGTGGAGATACAGAAATTTCAGAAGGATAAAACACGATAGTCTTGTGTAGAAACGCAAACACGAAAAAACAGTGTTGGAACGTTTTAACGGGATAGCAAGAAGTTCTAGTGGAGAAACATGGATTTCTGGAGTGCAAGAGCTGAAATTCTGGATGACAAAAGATGAAGTCACGGATTTTTTCAGAAGCAAACATGAAGTTCTAGTGGGCACACATATGTTTCAGCAGGAAAAAACATGATGTTCTTGTGGAGAATCATGGATTTCTTCAGGAAGAAACATGAAGTTCTAGCAGAAAAACCTGGATTTCAAAACCTGGATCAAACCAGCATCGGACAAATGCATCTGCAGGACAAAACAGTTCTTTTGCGAGATATTGAGTTTTGCAGGGAAAAACATGAAGTTCTTGTGGACAAACATGGATTTCTGCACTACGAGACATGAAGTTCCTGTGGAGAATCATTGATTTCCGAAGTAGAGAACATGAAGTTCTAGTAGAGAAACCTTGATCTCTTCACGAGAAAAGATTAACTTCTTTTGGAGAATCATGGATTTCTGCAAAACATTATATTTAATTTTTGTGGAGAAACATGCATTTCTGCAGAAGAAAATATGAAGCTCTTGTGGAGAATCATCGATTTCTTCACGAAACAACATGATATTCTAGTAGAGAAACCTGGACCTCTTCAGGAGAAAACATGAAGTTCTTTTGGAGAAATATGGAATTCTGCAGAAGAAAACATGGAGTTCTAGTACAGAAACTTTCATTTCTTCAGGAGAAAATATGAAGTTTTAGTACGGAAGCCTGAATGTTTTCAGGAGAAAACATGAAGTTCTTGTAGAGAAACATGGATTTCTGCAGGATGAGACGTGAAATTACTGAAACATGGAATTCTGCAGAAGAAAACATGAAGTTTTAGTGGAGAAACCGAGCTGTCTGTGTAAGAAAACATGAAGTTGTAGTGGAGAAACACGGATTTCTGAAGAATAGGACATGAAGTTCTAGTGGAGAAACACGTCTTTCAGCAAGAAAAAGCGTGAAGGTCTTGTGGGGTAAGATGGAAGTTTTGAGGCAAAAGCATGAGGTTCTAGTGGAGAAACTCGTTTTTCAAGTAGAAACTCAAGAGAAATATTATTTTCCAAATGTTGAAAAACAAGGGCTCTGGAAAACCTAAATGATCTGAAGAATTGGAATGAGTAAAAAACTGAATTTTTATCGAAAAATAGAAATTGAAATGTTCATATTTTAAAGAACTTAAATGAGATCTTCAAGTCGTTCTGTGAAAAGGCGAAAAGCAGGTTTCTTTTATAGTGTAGGTTAAATAGATGTTGCAGTTCTATATTTGTATGAAAAAAAATTCATTCTATACGGTTATTACTAGCAAAGTGAAAGTCATAGATGTAACAGGTCAAGATTTAGTATCATTCGAACTGCAAAAGACGTTTGGGACGCATGGACATCTACTTTTTGATTCATAAACTAAATATGTTGAACTCAAATTTTTACTGTAAACTATTAAGGTCAGATACACATTCAGTGAAAATTAATTATTGTGCTCTCTCTACAACCAGTTCTTTTGCTATTTAAGTTCTTCAATTCCTTTTGCTTGTTCTACCAAAACTATGTTGCTTTAGAGTTTTTCCTGTCTTTGTCTGTGTGCGAGAGAGTGAACTGGGGCGACTATGTGAATGTAAAAACCTAACGGCAGAGGAGTGCTTACACTTTAGGAAAAACGTCCCGAGCTCTCGACCCAAGAAGTTCCAAGATGTGGCTTAGATCCAGTTTTGTCGAGGACACTTCACGTTATATAGCTATGAAAAAAATTCATAGACGTCTAAGTCTGTTTTCCGAGAACCGAACTGGTTTTCCACAGATCTCCTGAATAACGACACTTTGAAATTTTTTCTAAATTTCTCTTTGTTTATGAAAATATAGCTTCAGGTCTTGACTAGCGAATGACGAAAATTGCACGTCTCTGTCTTTTATTCCTTTTGATCCAAAAAAATCCAAAATGATCTTTCATCAAGACTGAGCTTCAAGCAATACCTCCAAATAAAATTTTCAGAAAACTTCAAAAAACTAGCATCTTTGCTGAAAAACATAGAAGAAAAGATTCTTATAATACTGAAGAATTTTTTAGAAATTGTTTTTGGAAAGTTTTCATTCTTACGGATAGATTCTGAACATCTGCTTTTGATGAACTGAAATAAAAGTTTTTGGGTGAATGGTGAAAGATGGATCACACTTATATAGATAAAGTGTTAGACTATTGGCTAAAACAGATCCTTTTGACAGTTAAAGCACGTGGTTATCACATGAAACCGCAATTGAAATTGTAGCTTTTTCTTTTATTCATAATAATAGGAAGAAAATGCGCAAAAATAAGTGAATCAAACTGTATAAGAACAGTATCTACGTAATAGAAACGAATAATGTGCTACACTATGGTCTTCCGATATGCTCAACAACCTAGTAAATCAGTAACGTATATATCTTCTATTCTCACAGCACGTCTATTTAAAAGTTTCATACTATTTCTTTCTTTTCAATTATACCTGTAAGGTCTTTATCGTTAATTCAGGAAGAAAACAGTTTATCTAATTGAACACCATACAAAAATCTAATATTTTACAAGATTCTTCAGATTATTTAATCTAATAGTCCTAAGAACTTAGTCGTTCGATTGACGTCCTTCGGCTGCTATTTGATTTGATTACCGGACGGTGGTAACAGTCTAATTCGCTTTCAAAGCATCTGCGATCGTTTGTGCTACTCTGCTAGTTCTTTGGTTACATTGCAGACCAAGAGTGGTAAGAGTGTCATTGTGTTTCAATGCACCAGCGATTGCTTCAGCTGCTTCATCAGAGATTTCGTTGTTACTTAGATTGAGATTGGTAAGAGTGCCATTGTGTTTCAATGCATCAACGATTGCTTCAGCACCTTCAACAGAGATTTGGTTGTCGCTGAGATTAAGAATGGTGAGAGTATGATTGTGTTTTAATGCATCAGCGATTGCTTCAGCTGCTTCAGCAGAGATTTCGTTGTTACTTAGATTAAGATTGGTAAGAGTGCCATTGTGTTTCAATGCCACAGCGATTGCTTCAACACCTTCAACATCGATGTTGTTGTTACTTAGATTAAGATTGGTAAGAGTGTCATTGTGTTTCAAAGCATCAGCGATTACTTGAACCCCTTCGGGAAAGATTCCGTTTCCAGCTAGGTTAAGACTGGTAAGAGTGTGATTCTGTCTCAATACATATGCGAATGCATTAGCTCCCTCGAAACCTACTCTACCGAA